AAGGATAACTAGATATGGCAATTAGAAAACTATGTGCCGAGTCTGGTAACTCACCAAGTACATCTATGTACCCCCAGAGATCATTGTTGTTGATTACCGTTAATTGAAATTAGGGGTAGGGCGTTAGGATATGGGTAGGGTTTTAGAAAAATATATACCAAAATTTTGCAAGGAATTTTTTTTTGTTATAATGCAAAAGATAGTTTCATATGCAAAATTTCGAGATATAAATAAACGATTTGTTTTTTTAATTTTAACGTTACGAACTGATCGTTCGTTTAGTATTAGTATCTACATAATTGATGTTGTTTGGTGATTTTTAGCCAATTAGATCGAAGGATCTGGTGTAACGTAAAATCAAAACAATCGAATTAAACGAAAGATTTTAAAGTAATCAGCTTCTCATTTTGGTTAGGAATAAGGCCAAGGAAGACATAGCTTATACCAAAATTTCACAAGGAGTTTTTTGTTAGAACGCAGAAGGCAGTTTCATAGGCAAAATTTCGAGTTATTAGCGATTTTTAAAAAGACGCGATTTTCACGTTACACCTGATCCTTTTATCAATTGGCTAAATTCACGTGCCGGAAAATTTTTGTGGGTGAGCTACAGGGTTTTATGGTATCGGGATATAAATATAAAATAGATGGGCAAGTAGAAAGACAGGGATATCGGTCATCGGTTTGATGAACGTAAGTTGTGTATCATAGTGGCGCAGTACAAAAAAATTATTTGATAATAGTAACAACGGTTATACAAAAAACAACAAAAAACATAACAAAATTTATGCAAATCAACAGTGGTAATATATGGAAGCTTTTCAAGGAAATTTCTTCTAAGTAAAAGTTTTTTAAACTAAATTTAATAAATTTTTTTATTTTAGGATATTGCTAACTTGCCCCCGGTTAACATAACCACCTTATTATTATGACTCAAAAATGGCTTAAATAACTATGTTTAACGCACTAAGTAAAAATATCTAGCACTATAAAAAACCTTATCCTAGCCTATTTCTACCTTTTTAAATAATTTTAATTTTAAAATTTAAATATAAATTATAGGTGGTTAAAATTTAAAATTTAACTAGGGTTTAAAGTTAGTTAAATTCTTTATTTTTAATTCTATAAAATTATTAAATGTAAAAAAAAATTTTATTAAATTTAATTTTATAGTTATTGAGATATTTTAATTTAAAATTTAAAAAAAGTTACTGAAAACTTTTCCCCCCTTTTCTATTGAAAAACGCCCATATATTGATTAATTAATGATTAAATATTATACAGAAACTTGTAACTATATAGTTACTATATAGTTCGATGCAGCCACTTACTATACATGAAGATATCCAAGTTTCTGTATAGTATTTAATCATTAATGAATCAATGATTAATACTATACAGAAACTTGTAACTATATAGTTACTATATAGTTCGATGCAGTCACTTACTATACATTAAGATATCCAAGTTTCTGTATAATATTTAATCATTAATTAATCAATACAGTGATTAATTGATTACATATTATGTCTTTTGCATAAATTTTTACGTATGCTTTTGCATAAATTTTACGTATACTTTTTTGTATAGATTTTGTTTTTTTTGTTTGTTGTGTAACCGTGTTAAACTTTGTAGGCAACTGACTTTTATATAGAATTCTATAACTCCGATAAAATTTTCTATATACTACTTTTTATTGTTATTATGCATTGATTTATTTATTTTATTTTTTTTTAAAAAACAATTTTAAACCATACAAAGAATATAAAATTAAATGACCAACCATGCGAAACACTCCTATTAATAATAGATTCATTATTATTGATTGAAAATACTATATAAAGAAAATTCTATAAGGCAGTACTAAACGTCAGCTTCCTTATTCAAAAGAAATGGAAGTTCTATTTCTTGCCTAGTGTTTTGGGTATTACAAGATAATGTTCTACAATGCACTTGCTACATTGTTTTTATTATTATATTTATAACGAATTTATAATTATTCATTAAATTTAAAATCCATTAGATCCCTTAGTAATTATATACATATCTGTTATAGATGACAAATGACTTAGTGCACCAAAAATTCCGGTCAAGAATTAATAAATTTTGCTTAGAATAATTCAAATTTTGTTAATAGGACTATAACTCATCCGTTGCTCTGAATTGATAAGTTTTTGACATATCTCCGTTATTTTCAACGGAAAAATTTTTTAGTTGTCGTGGAAGTCACAATTACTACGTAAAAGTAAATTTTAGATTCCCTTTTTTGGCATCAGAACCTAAATCTGTCAATTATTATAACAAACAATTATGGTAATGATCTGCCGTGAAAAGTCACAAGGTCGTTTTTAATATGCATGCATACATACTAAAAAATATAATGATACCAGATCAAGCTCAGATAAAAGAAATTACGCAGAAATCAACAAACCGGAATTGCATAATTTTCAAGAGATTTCATTCTAATTGTTTTGTTTAATTGTTTTGTTTAGTTTTTGAAGAAATCAATTGCACATTTGATATAAATTTTTTTAGCATCAATGTCATATGAAAATTATGAATAATGATTGGCGAAAACATTTCTGTAAAGAACTAATTTTATATAAAGTTATCCGGAGAAACTTTTTAAAAATGACAAATAGAATCTGGATAGGGAAAAAAATCAATGGATGTAAGACCTTTCACAAATATATTTAGTAAATCCTATGGGATGTTGGCGTGTATAAAAATTGTTTATTTTACATTTTCAGGAGCGCGAAATATTGTATCCGCATTTCGCGGAAAAAATATAAGAGAGTATTTTGAATACGATATTTTATGATTTTTCATAGAATATCACACCGAGTATGTTGAGTATTTTTCAGTGAGTACTTTTTTAAGATGCTTGATGTATGTGCACTTGAAATGATAAAACAGTATTATAGTCGTACTGTGTGATATTTGATTTCTTCATTTAGTTTTATAGAAACCTTGAGTATGATATAAAGAAACGCTTAATATATTATCCAGTATCTAGTATAACGCGTCTTACGTTTTCAGTAATGTTACATAAATTTAAGTGCATTTTTTTTTCTTTTTGTTTTTTTTTTAAGTTTAGCACCTAATATTTTTTACATCATATATATTCATTACGTGATAAAATAAACTGATCTTTATTGTGAACAAATCACCATTATTTAGTTATGTAATTTTTATAGTTGCTTATAAAATAAAGTACTTTAACATTAAGGTAAGCTATTATAAAAATATATATCATTACAAAAAATTGTCCTGTTATCCAATTATGGATCCCAGTGAAAATTTATAAATAGATGCTCGTAGGTTTGCTTTTGAAGAATATCTATATCAACCTTCTTAACGGATATTTAATAAAAACCAAAATAAATTTCTGCCTCTTAAAAGCGCAACATGATGAATATAAAGATGCTTAGCGTTTCCGAAATTGAGGAGCTTAACGTTGAAGAATATGTAAGGAACCATTACAAAAACGGTAAAAGCATGAATGCCTTCTTCTTGTATAGAAAAGAATATACAAAGCGTGCAATTGCCAACGGAATTAAAGCAAAGATGACAAATATATCTAAAGCTGCCGGCGAATCTTGGAGAAATGAAAAACCCAAGATTAAGAAGGCATTCGCAAAAGTTTCGAAACGCATTGATGAACTTTTACAGAGAAGGAGGCAAAGTGAGAAAACTTACCAAATCATATATGATCCTAATATGGAAAGAGTACAGCCTATTTCACAAGAATCTGTGGATATTAATAATCAACACGATCCTTCAATACAAAATACTCCCACTTTATACTTTCCTTCATATTTTCCTTTGTCACAAGACTATGAATATAGTTACTCATTAAGTGTGGAGGATATTGCATACCTTTATTGGAATTCGATTGATGGTCCGTTCTTTATTTGATTGATTTAATAGATAGATTGAATTACGTTTCGTTTTTTGGATGTATGGTTTTTAATTACTTTTCATATTTTTTTCTTTATGATTTATGTAACATTTTAAATAAGTAAAGTTCGCATATCCGTAGATTTAAGATTTAAAAATATAATATTAAATTATGCTTTAACTACAGTCAGACCTCTCTAAGTGCACGCCCTTGGGACCACACTTTAATAACGTTCATATAGAGTATAATAAGAAAAAGTGCATTTATAGAGGTCATGTATATATTTGAGCTGGCACTTGAGTGTGCATTTAGAGAGGGCGTGCACTTGTAGAGTGTGCACTTAGAGAGGTCTGACTGTATAATGTATGGGGATTATTCTATAAGTTAGTATTGATTGTTATTATGGATTATTATAAGCAAATTATGCATGAGTTACTCTTCCATGTCAATAAGTTATTTATTTCATGCCAATAAGTTATTTTTTTTCATTCCAATATTATATGAAAATACATATGAGAATTTAATATATGAAAATAAATATAAGAATTTACCGGTATATCGTATCTGTTACTGAATGTCTTTATTAAAATTTTCACTTTTTTCCGTACTTTGGTTTAAACGTATATATAATACATAAAGCTGATATCTGTTTATCTGTTTAAATTATTTTTGATGCAATTGTATTGTTCTTAATTAGCGCTAAGTAGTCAATAGTAAGTAATACAGATGGTAGTACGGCTATACAGAACCTTGCATCGTAACTATATAGTAACTATATAGTTACTATTAAATTTAACAGTAATTATATAGTTATTATATAGTTTCGATGCAGTTACTATGTATTAAGATATTCAGGTTATCTGAATGTACGTACGTACGTATGTTAAGTAAAAAATTTACATTGATTTATGAAATTTAATCGTTGTAAGCAATCGTAAACAATCCATTTTTAATAGCTAAGTTAGAACAAGTGCTAATATTATCCTTGTATTATATAGTGCAAAGGACAAGTTGTGAAGGAAAATAACATTGGCTTCTTGTCGTATCGATGTGAGCGTACGCACGTACTATAATGGTATTCAGAAAAGGAATGATGATCATAAAATGGAGTATTACAATCGAATAAACCAGCATGTAAGTAATGTACACCATTGTTGGTATAGATGTAAGCTAAGAATTTACGAAAGGATTAGGAAAACTTATAAATTTATTTTTTATAAGTTATCCCTTTTCAATAGTTAGGGTTAGTATATTCATATTAGGTTTAGTATATTTATATTAGGTTTAGTACATTCATATTAGGTTTAGTATATTTATATTAGATCATATTAGGGTTAGTATATTCATATTAGGTTTAGTATATTTATATTAGGTCTAGTACATTCATATTAGGTTTAGTATATTCATATTAGGTTTAGTATATTCATATTAGGTCATATTAGGGTTAGGATATTCATATTAGGTATGGCATATTTATATTAGGTTTAGTATATTCACATTAGGTTTAGTATATTCATATTAGTTTAGTATATTCATATTAGATCATATTAGGGTTAGTATATATATATTAGGGTTAGTATATTCATGTTAGGGTTCATATATTCATGCTTGGGTTCATATAGTTTACAGGCAAAATCTCAATGAATTTCTTAGAATTTCTTTTACAAGCTATACATGCCATCTTAATTGATACTCAAAAAGAATGTACGTAAGTAAATACGTACATATGTATATACGTAGTGAAATCAATATTATTATTCATTGTCCTAGATAATTATATAAAATCCGGGGATATGCTTTATTCGAATGAGAAAATGCACGCATATATACTGACATTCTCATCTATTAATATTTCTATAATATATATGATATATATCGTGGTTATTGACAGTCAATATCCCCAGCAATTACATAGAGGCTTATTATCACAACCAGAAATTCATTTATAACAGTGGCATGATTTTTTTACGCGTCGTTTTTTCAAACAACTTTTTAAGAAACTTCCTGGCATTTTTTAAGACTTTTTCATTTAAGAAGAAACCTTTTTTTTTTTTTTTAAGAAAAAATTAGAATGATTTCATATTCCTCAAAAAAAGTAATGTTGCTACCAGTGTTGTCATATATAATTGTAAAATACTGCTCGAGATCAAGGCCTTTATTTTCATTCAATTTCTCCTCAACCTCTTCTGCATTCTTTTTACACGCATTTTTAACCCTGTTCCATCTCATTTTTTCTAATCATTGCTGACTAGTTGTACACATAAGCTGTTTAAATCTTTGATTTAAAAGAAATGTTGGTGAAAAAAAATGCTTTTCTGTAAATAAAGAAAACGTTGGGATTTTTCGACAGGCCATCTAACTGGCATCACATAACGTGACATTGCAAATTATGTAACTAAATTAATACTGGTTATGTGACTTGTCGGTGAAATAACTCCAATAATGTACATGTGATCTATTTAAATATTTTTTAGTACGCATGTAGACCAATTCCCGACTGCATTTAATAACCGATAATAATACGAAAAAATACACGTGCTATGAATATTTATATATATAAATAATATATATATTTTATAATGTTTATATATAATATATATATATATATTATATATACGCATTGTAAAATATATTATAATACAAATGCATGTCGCCACACACTTTTTTTGCATATCTATTATATCTATTGTATTCCTTAATAATTACATTTTTCAGGGTCAAAAAGTGAATATTTACACAATATTTGTAAAAATAACATTTAATAATGCCAAATACAATTTTTTTGATATTCTCACAAGTTGATTTGCATGTTATCAACAGAGTCTAGAATTCGAAGATTTGAAAGTATGAATCTTAAAATTAATCAAAGGGGATTAAGGGAATTCATAGATGTATGTAAATACTTAAAGTAATGTATTTTGCATCATCAGTAAACTTTAATCGTCTAGAATTCTTTTGTTGTACACAAAATGCTTTCAAAGTAAACAAAGAACAAAGAAACATTCTATAACAAAGAGTTGTCCTTATTTTGATTCAAGTTCACGACGCGTTTTTTTTAATGAAAATAAATATAGATTATGATGAAACCTGTTAGCATATGGATATGTATTGATATAACAATATTTACATATGACAAGATTTAC